GACTAGTTCTTTCCCTGCGGCAAGGAGCTGTCTAGATTGGTAGAAGTAGAAAATACTTTTAGATTGTTTTAGGCAATTTATTTACCCATCTGTAGAGGTGCTAGAACACTGATTTGAACAATAAGCACTGTATTTTTATTGGGCAGCTTCATTTTTCATTGATTCGCAGTAACAGATATGCAAATCTATTTGTCCTCACCGAAATGTGCCTAATACATACATATAGGAATAAATTGTGTTAACATTTTCATGCACCTTTGTGAATTTACATTTGGCAAGTACTCCTGCATAGAAATCTGAGCAATTTTGGTTCTAAAAATATTATCGTGTTCACTTTTGTTTCTAAAGACAGTTTTGCTTAGATGAAGTAGCATTGCTGAAATCTCATATGTGATTCAGGCATTTAGCTAAATAACTTGTGAGATCTAGCCAGTTAAACTTTTGTCCTACAGGAACTTTTAACAAGCTGCCTTATGTATGCATCTCATGTGGAATTGGATTGTGATCAGCAAGTATGTAACTAATATATTTGGGACTGAACTTTTAGTAATATATGTGAAGTCCAGTTAGCTGCTGAGGTAACTCCTTGTTTTGTGATTGTTGAGCTCTGTTATTTATTTCTAACTAGGGGGGTGCTTTTAGTAGACAACACATTTTTTCATGAATTCCTAGTCACCAGGTGTCTACTTTGATGCAATCATGCCATTATCACTTGTTCATGTACCTGTGATCTAGTAGATGTTTTTTGCTTGTAAAGAGAGCTTTACTAACCAAGAAAGACATTGCTAACTTACTCATGAGGAACAAAGCACAAGTTTTTCATAAGCATTGTGACATGATCTCTTGCTAATGGTTATTTTTATCTTGTTTTGAATGTAGGATATGGAGATGAATGGATGTGTAGCAGATAATGTGTATTGCTGTCAAAGGGCTTGTAGGAAGTAGGAATTAAACTTCTATTTTCTACATGTTGGTTGCATGAACTATAACATTCCAACTTGGGTTTGCTTTATTTTGCAAGGCCTTTAGAATGTAGCATAAGATTTGCTGACATTGTATAAACGACTTCAATAATAATTATATGTATCAAACAGTTGAGTGTAACATTTAATGTTGGTTGGTGTGTGGATGCATAGTTAAATTAAAAGGATCGACTAATCAATGATTTGAATAGTTGAATGAGCTTTTATCGATATTAAAATTGTGATTTCCCTGATGGTGGTTGGCTGGCAGAAGGTTTGATCCTTCCCTGACGGAAGATGGCCGGCAGGGTAAGTTTCAACCTTCCCAGACGGTACTGTAACTGACAGGGTAAGTTTGAACCTTTCCTGGCGGTATGGTAACCAACGGGAAAACTCTCTCCTGACGGAAACAAAAAAGTCGACGGGAAAACTCTCTCCTGACGGCAGTAACCGTCAGGAACCATTCCGTGACGGTTTTCCGTCAGGGAAGGTGGACTTTCCCTGTCAGAAGTTTTCCCTGATGGTTTTTAGTACCTTCCCTGACGGATTTGGCCGTCACGGAAAAAGTTGGCTGAGGTAGTGCGTGGCGGCAGTTTAAGGGCCAGTTTGGATGTCAAAATTTTTGGCAAAACGATACTGTAGCGTTTTCGTTGTTATTTGGCAATTAGTGTCCAATCATAGTCTAATTAGACTTAAAAGATTCCTCTCGTGGATTTCGTCTAAACTGTGTAATTAGTTTTATTTTTTATTTATATTTAATGCTTCATGCATGCGTCCAAAAATTCGATGTGGCGAAAAATCTTGAAAATTTTGACATTTTAGGGTGCAACTAAACAGGACCTAACTTTAAGTCTCTAGTACTAGTATGTTGGATATGTGAAAAGGTTTGGTGAGTACTAATAATAGCTAGCAGTATCTGTTTACTCATCAACTCGTAAACAGCAGCAGGACTGTGTCAGCTCTCAGCTGGTAGACAACCGCTAGCTGCTGACTCCGACATGTGTGACGGCTACTGCATGCAATATTTAATATCAAACATGGATCAGGCAAAGCTTTTTTGTACAAGGTGGCATCAGAATTCAGAGACAACTTTTAATACGACCGTCCTCGGCCTTACATGTGTTTCCACCAAAGTAAACATGGTATTGTCCTCTATGGGCTCACCTTCTGAATGAACATCATTCTGAATTTGTTGCAGGCAACACGACGGAGCTAATGATAATGATAATGAAGTGGAAATTTCCAAAGTGTAAATCCTGGAAAAAAGCAGGCAAATTACGGCTGCCTAGCTAGTCATGATTCGCTGAATTTTCATATGTACGACCAGCTCGGGCCTCGGGCACTATCTATGCCTAGTACTTTCAGTAGGTGTGAATGCATGCAGAGTGGAAAAAGAGTAGCTCGATCTAACGTCGTACTACACTGAAAACACTACTAGCTTAGATAGCATATAATTCTAGATCGAAAGAAAAGCAACAAACGAGTGGTGCGTGCAGCGAGTACCTACCAACCAAAGCATATAGTATCTCAGCATCACATACGCGCGCGGGAAAGCGATATGCATTTGGAATTAGTTAGACGAGTGCTCTCATGGGCTTTATTTATTAGTAGACAACGTCCTACACTTTGATAGTAGGCTTTACCCCAGAACACCAAATTTAACTTTAGAAGAAGTGTGCCCTCATGGGCTGAAACAAATACTAGCTACGACATCATATGCTCCATCAGCTGCAGACTTCTAGTCAGTATTTCTTCATTTCTGAGTCAGGCTGGTCGTTTAGAGCTCACTAATGCAGTATCCACAGTCCTTCCTACTTTTTTCATAAAGTATGTTCCTCTTACCAAAAATAATTATTAAGCAGATTGACAAATTTAGAAAACACTGTCCGTGGAGAGATCGATAATCTGATGTTAATAACCGCAAACCGCCAAAGGCAGCCTGGACTATGGTTTGCATTCCAAAACAGGAAGGGGGTCGGGGGTTTTGAACCTCCGCACACAAAATGAATGCCTTTTACTCAAACACTTACATAAGTTCTGCAACCAATTCAGCGTGTGTTCAGTTCCAAAAATATTTTCAAAAAAGTGCTACAGTACCCGTCACATCGAATCTTGCGATACGTGCATGGAGCAGTAAATGTAGACGAAAAAAAAACTAATTGCACAGTTTGGTTGGAAATCGCTAGACGAACGTTTTGAGCCTAATTAGTCCATGATTGAACACTATTTGCCAAATAAAAACGAAAGTGCTACGATACCCAAATTCTAACTTTCCCTCCAACTAAACACAGCCTCAATGTTCCATGGGTGCAACTTGTTTGGGACAAGTATTATTATAATGGATGGCTTCCTTGGCTCACCAGTAGTTTCAGGGTCTCCTTCTGGTGGAAGGATATTCTGAAGGTTGTAGATTCCTATAAAGACATGGCTACGACTAATATTCATAATGGAAGTTCTTGTTTCTTTTGGCTTGACCTTTGGAATGGAAGAGTTTTGCAGCAGACATCCCGGAATTATTTTCCTTCGCTAAAAATTCACACATTGCAGTATATATATATATATATATATATATATATATATATATATATATATATATATATATATATATATATATATATATATGTATATGTATGTATGTGTATGTATATGTATATGTATATGTATATGTATATATATGTATATGTATATGTATATGTATATGTATATGTATATGTATATGTATATGTATATGTATATGTATATGTATATGTATATGTGTGAAGCTTATTACACCGTTCCATCATTCAAGACTCAAGACTTAGACCTGCAACAAGAGCCGGACCAATGGACTTTTGGGGTTCCTCTATCTTCTCCTCAAGGAAAGCTTATAAGCTTCTGATTGGTCACTCACAAGTTCACCAAGTTTTTCACCGGCTATGGAAATCATGTCAAAACAATAGAAATTCTTGTTCTGGCTTGTGTTGAAAGACCGACTAAGTACCAGAGAACTTCTCTGGATTTTCGAAAGCTTCAAAGATCAACTCCAGTTGCCTTTTTTCATGGAGATTGTGGTTACCTTGTGCTGGTCAATTTGGACAATAATAAATGATGTTATTTTCATGAACATTCAGGCTTCGGTGCAGCGTTGCAAGACAATTTTTAAAACCGAGTTCACCCTAGTTATTCTACGGGCCAGAGCAAACTATATCCTCCTCCTATTGATTTAACGCTATAAGCTTATGTGTAAAATATAGATTTAGCAAACTATCTCTCAGTGGTCAGTGCGTGCGTAAAATATATATATATATATATATATATATATATATATATATATATATATATATATATATCTTATATATATATATATATATATATATATGGGATGCCCTTGGCCCATCTTCGGATGCCCTTCTTCATCGTCATGTTGAGCTCAACGAACATCTCCTGTCAGTCACCAAGGAAAAATCCGACAATTAGCTAGTAGGGTGATGACTGATGAGCATTGCTCGATCACGTGGTTCTCGATCGAAAACGAAAACGCGAAGCCTCCGAGGAAGGTGCTGCTGTCTCTCGTAGTAAGGTAGGGGTAGGGGCCGTGTACCCCTTTCTTGGACGTTTGGCACTCGGCAGCATGAAGACGTGTTACGGACGGGTGGCCCGGTCCGAATCCGACATGGCCAATCAGCAGTCTCTACTCCGAAACCCAAACAATCCTTCTGCACCTGCAACACAATAGGCATCCCCTCCAAAGACGAAACGCGCTTCGCTCCCCATGTTTTTGTTTCCGTCGTGTCATCGCCGTTATAAATAAAGAGGGCAGCTCCCTGCGCCGTTCGCCTCATGACCCCCTCTCAAACCCAGTCACCCACCAGCCTCATCACTTGCCTCTTCTCTTCTCCCAGCAGCCGCGAGCCCGCGACACAGTCCTGCGCTGCCTCTAGTTTCGCAGCACCATTGCCATCACCATCGATCGATCACCCCGCGGTCCGGCCTCCAGACCAGCTCTAGCCTGCGCGGCAACAACGAACAGCCGAGACTAAGAGGTCCGTCGGTCGAGCGATGGCCAGCGTCGTCGACGGCAATGGAGGCAGCCGGCTGGTGGTGACGGAACTGGGCCACGTCAAGGAGCTGGCGAGGCAGCTGGAGGTGCACCTCGGCGGCTCCTCGCCCGACCTCTGCAAGCGCCTCGCCTCGCAGATCTCCTCCATCACCGAGCGCTCCATCAGCCTGCTCATCACCACCTCCACCCTCGACGGCCCGCAGAAGCGGTCGGCGGCGACGGCCAGCCCGCTCAGCGACGCCTCCGACGCGCCCTTCGTCAAGGCCACCAAGAAAAGGTATCCATCATCCAGGGAGCTTCCCGATTAACAAACAGAAACGCTCTCTGTTTGCTGAGCTTTTCAAGTGCTTTTTATGTTAACTTGCAGGACGACGATGGACAAGAAGAGGCATGAGGTGAGGAGGGTGAGCTCGGCCGGCGACCACCCGGACGACGACGGCCACAGCTGGAGGAAGTACGGCCAGAAGGAGATCCTTGGAGCCAAGCACCCAAGGTTGCCCCACTTGACTTGACACATCCTCCTATCAAAAAGAAAAGATTTTTCTTTTCTTTTCCAGACTCCAGAGCCCAATCTCATCTGCACGTGTTCTTATCGCAAGTGGAATCGAAATCATTTCCTGCTGCTTTCTTATCTACTTTTGATGGCGGGGCTCCTCCACTCTTGTCTTGCTGAAAAAAGTTGTGCAGCCTCTGTTTGTTTGTGTTGTTTGCAAGTGTTTGGCTGGCCTCCACTTAATCTTTGTCCGATGGAGGAACAATGATTCATAGAGCAATTTCCAAATCAGATTGTCGATGCTACTTTGTGCAAATCATGTTCGTCGATGCACAAGCAAAATCTCTTCTTTTTCCCCCATCAAACAAGATTCTGGTCCTGAGGCTGACGTGATCCGTGCAAACATTGCAGGGGCTACTACCGCTGCAGACACCGGCACTCTCAGGGATGTGCGGCGACGAAGCAAGTGCAGCGCACCGACGAGGACCCGACCTTCTTTGACGTCGTCTACCTCGGTGACCACACCTGCGTTCAGAGGGCTGCGGCTGCGGCGGCGGGTCAGGCTGCCGCAGACGCGCGGGGGCCGGAGTACAAGGACAACGACAACCCGGGCACCAGCAGCTTCGTGCAGAGCCTGAGCTCCAGCCTGACGGTGAAGACCGAGGGGCCGGCCGTGGAGCCAGAGCAGCAGCTGCAGGGCTGGGAGGCCCCCGCGCCCTTCTGCTTCTCCTCCACGCCGGCGACAGCGAGCGGGTGCCTGGTGCCGGAGCGCAGCCCCTTCTCTGCGCCGTCCACGTCCGACAACTGGGCCGTGTCCCCGGCGACCTCGGACTCCAACCACGTCGTCTCTTTCCCGCCTTTCGAGGTCGCCGGCGGCGACGTGCAGTTCGGGTTCGAGGAAGTCATGGCAGCGATCGACAGAGCCGGCGGCGACGGGTTCCTCGACGACCTCGACATCGACGTCTCAAGCTTCTTTGTGTGATCTGAGTGCAAGCAGGGAGCGACGAGTCTTGCTAATGCAGCTGGTGAACACTAGGGAATGGGAATCTGAGGCTTCCCTTTAGTAGTTCAGTTGCTCTGCCGTTTGTCTAGGGGCAGAGGAGGGAAGAACACATGTTCTGTCTCGGTCAGTGGCAGTGCCTGTCATGAACCTTAGGATATCAGAATAGTGAATGCTCCTTCTCTCACTTTTTTTCGGTCGAGGGTTGCAAAGTAAATAATTTCGTAATAGTGCTGTCAATTTTTAGGCTAAACATGTGAGTTTCTTCTAGTGAATTTAAACATCTTCCAACATATAAATTAATAGTGCAGCTTAAATTTGCGTGATATTTAATCTGATTAACCCCCATGAGGCCATGAACATTCGATCATGTATAATTAGTTTTTTTTTCAAGAGAAAGCTACTTAGTACTGATACCGACCAGTACTTGGTACATTCACAAGCTTTCCTTTAGCACTGTGCGTGAGGTTGCAATAAAAAAAGTCAAATACTAAGTACAAGTCTCCATTCAAAGCACAATACGAATGGTGGCATTCTGTCTCATTGGGCTCCAGCTTTACTGTACTCCCTCCGGTCTACTAGTTTACAAGGACAAATTTAATCTATAATTTTGAGAGAAGGTGTAGAGTTTCCAAAGTTTAGAAGGTGCTAGATTAGCAAAACAAAAAATCTCTAATATTTACTTTTCCTTTTTGGTAAAACATTAAACTGGGAATAATTGGAAGTTCCCGGAGAAGAAATTGTGTACAACACAATTCTGTTTACAATGCTATATATTTGTCATGCAAGGGTCTGGCGTATTGTATTCGCTAATTTCAATTTATACGGTTGTATCTTGCGTTTTAAAAAAACTATGACATGTTTTAAAATTTTAATTTAATGTAGAATTGAGGATTGTGGGCAAAGTGGTTTGAAATTGTAAAGACATATATGATGTTTTGGTCATGGATGCTCTTCATTAGGTATTTTTCTATCTACAATCAGGGCTGTCCCGGACAAAACCGAGGCCCTATGCAAAGTTTAAAACGGGGCCTCGTAGGCTAGCAAAATAGGACCATAAATGATATATAAACAATAATATATTACATTGCTATGTGATAAGTTATGAATTGTAGTACCTATTCAACCCTTCGTTGCATAATGTTTACTTGAACAACATCATTCTTTTGGTGTTCTTCGAAATGAAATCTTCAATAATAGACTGATAGTCAATCTTGTCCAGCATGTTGCCCTCAAGTGCTATTGTAGCCAAATCAGTAAGCCTTTCTTGCATCATTGTAGAACGCAAATAATTTTTCAATAACTTCAGTTTTGAATTGCTTCGCTCTGCTAATACGACAGTCATAGGTGGTCAACAAAACTCTATATGCAATAGTTGCATTGGGAAAGTAGTCATGTCGTTTCAAGAATTTTAGAATATCAACAAGGCCCATGTCTTCTTTTGGAATAAAATCTTGAAGAAACCTCAGCTGCACATACAGTTCATTAGCTTCAATATCTGATTTTCCATCTGTTTTAAGAGCAGCCTCAAGATTATCACAAGACGATCTCAAGCTATTATTATAGAATGACCGCAATATATCGGAAGTAAATAAGAAACCAAAAATTCACTGGTAGCCTTGATATATTGTTCAAATCTTGTTGTTAGTGAAGAAGCGAGCAAGTGTATCAACTCATTCTAGATGGCCAAGATAATGAACCTGTGTTTCTTCATTTGTAATACGTCGAACATGCTCTTGAAAACAAGGTCAAATTCAGCTAACATCTCTACCAAACCCAAGAAATTCCCATTGCTATCACCATATAACTTGCTATTGCTACCCCGAAATGCAAGATTGTGCTTGGCAAGAAATTTTACAATGGCAACAATTCTGAATAGAACTTTCCTCCAATGATCCTTTTCTTTCTCTAGTTGTCGTTGGGCAGATTTATCAATAGTTTGATCCTTCTGGAATCTACTACGCAACTCATACCAAGTGGTCATATTCAAAACATGATCTGCACTTGCCTCATGCTCTTTAAGTCTGTTGCCAAGATGTGTCCAATCATTACTCCCCTCATTTGCTAACTGACCTTTTTATGCCCCATTATAAGTAATTTACAACCAAAGCAAAATACTCTGTCAAGTTCTTTAATTAGAACAGACAAGCCAACGCCTATCACAAGCCTCTCCATTTGAAAGAATTCCAATATAGAATAGTGCATAAAAGACTACATATTATACATGTTTTCTCTAAAAAAATAATATACATGTTGCTTGTGCATTTTGAATTAATATAGTCATTTGTGCTCTTTGTTATATCTATTAGCACGCCACTAGTAAGATTTCTAACCTTTTATTATTATAAAAACAAATCTGCCTCATTCTGGATCCGCCACACAGCTGGTGTCCAGTGATATCAAGATATGAAAAAAGACCAACTAAAACTAAGTATGCATGATGCATACCACGCAATTCATTCCACTTGTACATCAATGAAAGAAGCGACAAACATAACCATTTTCATGGTTAAGAAATCATGAAAAGGACTTTCACGGTAATGTAATTGGTAGTCAAAACCTTTGGATCCATAAGACTAACAACTAGTTAACAAATCTTTAGTTCCTAAAGATCTAAATAAGGAGACTAATTGTTAGTCCTCTAGTCATGTACTAGTTGTTAGCGGAAACACTAATATATAACGAACGTTCATTGGATTCGAATCCAACAAACTATGAGCTAATCCCGCAACTTTCCTTTTTTGAGAAAAAAATATTTTGCACAACTTTGAATTTTTAGAAAGTTACAGAGTTATATATACACACAACTTTTATCATTCCATTATACGGGACAAAACTTATTACTACAACTTATATTCACAACTTTATGGGACTAGTTTTTCTTAGTAGTTATTAGTTACAAAAAAAAGGTGAATGAACAAAATAAGTAATTCTCATTGATTAGTTTGTGGACTCCAAATTTATTTATGAATGAACATATGTCTCTATTATCCCGTCCACGATCATGGTATAAATTTATGGGGTCGCTAACACATACATCTTGTACGCGTAACAAAATAAGTTTATATAGTCCTTTCTGTCAGAACTCAGAAGCAAGCAATCAAAATCCAAGTATTCCGTTACGACGACATTCCAGTGTGGCTATGCGACAATCGCATATCGTATCCGGATTACATCCTCTCTTCGTGTGTTGTTTAATGTACGTGCACGGTGCGCGTGGTTTGGCCATGGGCGTGCCGGCGACGGGGCTGCGTGTCCACGGCTGCCCTCCCCCTGTGCCTCTTGTCAGGGAGCACAGAGGGTGCCGGCTCTACAGCGCAACGGCGAGGTTTCTGGGCGACAGCTCTGCTTAGCTCTTGGCTGGGCCAGCGATGAGGATCGCCTTCGAGCGCATCTTCCTTCTTGAAGGCATCACTGAAGAACCTCCTGCTGCTTCCTCTTCAGGGTCAGCCAGGCCACTGCGGTTTCTCCTCGGCACAAGACTCGGGCTTTCGCCCTGCTAAGCTTTTGCTCGGCGGAGAATGATTACGTCTATGCGTCATTCACCTCCCTAGAGGCATCGTGGAAGAGTTCTTGTGCCGTGTTGTGCTCTTTTCTCTCTTTTGGTGAACTTTGGTTGTGTCACTGTTATGTGCAAAATGCCTTATAAAACTATGTAACGGGCCGTTTTGGGCCAATATATGAAATCAGGTGGAGAACGCCTCCCCCGTTGACCTTCAAAAGAAATTTCCAAAGCGTAAATCCTACTAGGAAAAAAAAGGAAACAAATTGTGGCTGTCTAGTC